TTTTTTTTTTTTTTTTTTTTTTTAAAAAAAAAAAAAAAAACATGCTTTTAGGCAATAGAGCTACATTTAAAAAAATAAGCAGCATGGATGTGGTCCAAATTTCTTGGCATTGCTCTCAATGCTCCTCTTAGTCTCAAGCCTCCCTTAAGACCTACGGCTGTCACTTTAGTAGACGTACAGCTTAGTTCTAACGTAGCGCACAAATCAGACTATCTGCTTCAAGATAATGCAAATTCCACATTCCCAAGGGATGAAATAAAAAGGGGAAGTGAAAAAAAACAACTTATCATCTCTCAAAGTAAAGCAGATTGCTTTACAAACTGCAACAACCTTGGCAGTGTCAAGGAGCACAACCTGCAATCTTAACATTCAAGTAAAATCGGAGTTTCAGCTTTGGGAAAAGCTAAGTGACTTCACTGTCACAGGAGTCAGCAACAGCCTCAACTTATTTTTTGACATCATTTGCTAGACTAGGCTTCTCAATCGAATTTCTGCTAAGAAATCCATTTTTTTTCATTCTAATGTTAAGCATCATTCTACTGGCAAAACTTTACCTGCACAGCTTGATTTTTTTCTGTTATTTAAGAGTGTGAAAACGACTGCACTAGATCAGATCAACGGACTGTCAAGACAAGTATTCCGTCTCCAGCAGTAGCCAGAAGGGGGTGCGTATGAACAGAGCAAGTAACTATATTAGTTTACAAAATAATCATGTCTTCTTGCATGAGCTATTTAGAAAGAGCATCGAAAATCTTGCGTAGAGAAACATTTTCTTTTTTGGCTCAGATATTGAACGACATTTCAATCAATGCTCCTGTTATCATGACAGTTCAGCAAAATCACTGTTTTCACATTTGACTGACAGTCTGTGTAACTGAAGACTGCAAACACAGTGTCACACCTTTTTTTTTTCCCTTAGGTTTCATGTCTTTAGGACAGTACATTTTCTACTTGAAGTCCATCTCACTGAGTCGATTAAATGTGGGCTACATGTTTTGGTACAGAAAAGGTGTCTAACACAGAGTTAACAAATAAATGAAGAATATCCTCTCAAACAGGTGGTTTGCTGGTGCGTGTAGACACAAAAAGAGCACTGCAACCCAGTAACATCAAGGTAGAGATGGACGAGGGCACCCACCAGCAGTTCTATCACATCAAAACAATCACACAAAATCACAGAATGGTTGAGGCTGGAAGGGACCTCTAGAGATCATCTAGTCCAACCTCCAATTGTCTTTATTCTGCTCAGGCAGAGCATCTGCCAAACGTCATTCTAAGCCAAGGCTGTCAAGCCAATGACACATGCAAAACGCAGGAAATGACTTGTTCCTTGCCTGTGGACATATTAAAGTATTTCTTGGAAGCAGCTGGCAGCCACATCCGAAAAGGGCAAACATACAGACCCACAAATCGCATCTTACTGTACCCAGTTTGCGAAGGATCCTCTTGCACTCATCCCTGCTGAGATCCAGAAGCGTCGGCCACACGACAGGCATCTTCCCCTGGCGCTGGTGCTCCCACAGAGCTCACCCTCGCTGAAAAGGAACATAAACGCAGTAAGCGCCCGGTCCAGCATTTATCCATTTCCAAACCAATTAAATGCCAGCTCTGCCCGGCCTGTTCCCAGCTCCACAGGCACATCCCCGATCCCTGCTCTGTAAAATGGCACGCTGCTCCATGCAGGAACGCGGTCGCTTCCTAAGGCCGTGGGCTCTGTCTTCCCCAGGTTCATCAGCCTTTTGCTGCTGAGTTTCGCCCTCTCCTCCTCGAGCCTTTTCTCATGCTGAAGCGCTGCTCCGAGTCCCCTCCTTCCTTTTATGAACGGAGCACCTATTGCAACCACTCCTGCGGCTCCCCACAGGCTCCCCGCCTTTTCCTTTCCTCCCGGGCAAGGTGGTTAGCACTAGCCCTATTATACCTCAGAATAGCCAAAAAAGGGGGTAGGAAGGCAGAAAAAAAAATAAAAATAGCTTTCCAACCCATCAACCCCCACCCCCGCCAAAACAAACACAACGGCCCTCCCCTTCCCATTGATGGAGATTTCGGGGCAAAGAAGGCAGCGATGGGGCCAGAGGCAGGGATGGAGCTGCCAGACGGGGAGCGGCCCGGCGGG